GTGATGGGCACTTAGTATGTGTTTTCTGGTTAAATAAGTGGATCTCGGCAGTGACTCACATGGAGGATGTACCTAATGACAGCCCGGGGCAACACTCTGCTCTGCCATGGTCTAATCCTTACTTAGGCAGTTGGGTTTGGGACTGCAGGGCAGGATGTAACTTTTATCCCTATTAAATCCCATCTTGTTGAGAACAGCCCCCCAGCCGCCCAGATCCTTTTGACAAGCTTGGAGTAACGGGCCAAATCATGTTGGTGACCTCAGATCAGAGTCCCAGATGAGTGCCTTATTCCTGCCAAGGAGTGTTCAGACTTGTCAGCCAAGTGCCATACCAGCTGGTTGGCTCATTGTCACCCGAACTAACAATCAGTGTCTAACTTGGCAAGTTTAGGTGTAGACAGTCCCCTGCAGCTAGGCCAGATGTAAGAGAACTGATTGTGTAAACTACTGACCTCTGTACCAGCCACTACTTCATACCTGGTTTCCAGAATCCCCGATGTTTTGGCCAGGAGGGTTCCCAAAGGGTTGTAAGTTCCTGAGACCCTGAGACCCTAAGACTTGGGGAAGAAAGAGAAGTCCACTGGGAACTCAGAACCAGTGCATCTCATGGGACCCCACACAGGAATGCTAATCCCCATTTGCCAAGTGGGGAACTTATGGGGAGCCAAAGTTAGGATGTCAGAACATGGAGCAAAATTCAACTCTTGATTCCTGAGTTTTTCTGTCATGCTCATGTCCTAGGCCCAAGGGGGACTCCTTTCCAGGCTTATTTCCCTTCATCAGTTTCCACTTAGCATAAATTCTGCTCATTCCAAAATCAGGACCCTGCCCCACGACTAGGCCTAGCATGTCATCAATATCATTGAACAATAACAAAATAGTAACTACATTTTTCAAGCCCCTATTATGTGATATCATTTCAATACATTATCTCTGATGTCATCCCATCCTGTAAGAAAATGCTGTGGTTATTCTCCTGTTCTACACGAGGAAACCAAGGCTTGTATTGGAAAAGATGAGTGATGCTTCCAAGGCTACATTTCCAGTAAATGCCAGACTCGAATTCAAGCCCAAACCTAAAGAATATAATTTCTCCCCAACACACAGCTCAGAGCCAATCTCAGGATGGGTCTCAATCAGAAGCAGAGTGTGCAGAGGATAATTCACAATGGCCTGTTCCCTGGACGGGAGGTAGATGTGGGCACATGGTTAATCTGCTCACTCCTCCACAGAGACCAGCACAGACCAAGACCACATGTGCAGAGGAAAAACCCGGAACCCTGGAAACAGCCCCACTACCTGTGTCTGCCTCCCTATGGAGACTAGCTGTTTGAGAAGGCTCTGAAAATGGCCCTGGGATTTCCAGGTGTGGCTTTCCCTTCCTGAAGTATCCCAAAGCTTCCTGCAGCCTGTGCCTCCCAGCAGCCGACCTTTGGGGAGATGTTCAGACAGGCTGATCTTTCCCAGTAATTCATTCAGAAAATATTAGCCAGGGGCCTCCATTATTGGCACCTTCATCATTTCAAAATATCTAGTCTGGGCCAGCGTGAATAGTCAAAATTGCAGAAGTGACTCTGTTAACACTAGCACCAGAAGAGCACACAGATTGAGATCTATTAAATGAGAGGAAGGTTAAGTCCTGGCTTCAGCACAGCTGGGGCATTGGAAAGGAATGAATCCCGAGAGGTCATCTAAACTCACATCGGAAAGGGATGAATCCTGGGAGCTCATCCAAACTTGATGAGAGAGAGAGGCTATGCCAGGTCTGAGGTCACACGGTAAGTAGCAGACCTGGGGTTCAAACGTGAGACTTCTGGATGCTTCCACCATTGCAGGATCCCCATCTTCTTGCCTGCTTGCTCATCTCTGGGGCTAATTTCAGAATTACTGGATAAGAACTGATCCATAAGGAGCAGCCAGATGGCCTCAGAGATAGGAGCGTCCAGCTGAGAAAAGGAGCTGTCTCCAACTCTAAGATGGGGGCTGCACAGCTCCCGTGCACCAACCATGGGTATCCTAAGCAGAAATTGAAATTCACTGGCATAACATCCCCACCCCTTAGCCTAGCATTCAAGGCCTCTATGGCCTAGTCCCAACCTGACTCTCCACCCTTATCTCTCCCAGCTTGCCCTTCAGTCAGCCTGCACTCCTGTTCTCTGAGATGATTCCACGTATACTCCTGCCCCGGGTGCATTCCTTCCCACGGTTTGTCCATACCCTCCCCTGCCAAGGCAACTGAGCTTCAACCACAGCCCACCTCCACTGAGTCTTTCCCAAGCCATCCCTCCTCAGATCTGAAGAGTACCTGTCACATCTCCATCCACTTCACACATCACCACGATAATGTTTTTAAAAGGTAGCAACCACCTTTCCTAAGGCCAGACTCCACACGAGGCTCACCAATGCTCGGGACGTTTGGCACTCATGGCAACATTCTGAGCTGAACACTATTATTGTCACTGGACAAATGAGGAAACTGAGGCTTGGAGACTTGCCAAAGTCACACCGCTAGACACCGGACCCCAGGATTTCACAGCCAAGTCTCTTAACGTGTAGGCTGCCGGCACTCCACCAGCACACACTGCTTTACTTTAATTCCTTCTGGGTGTTTCTGTTGTTGTTTCCGGATAGGCCTGGAGATCTCTGGAGGGCTCGGATTTCAGTAATTTATTCAATAGAAGTTGCTTGGGCATCTTCTACCACAGACTTAGGATATAGGCCTTATCTTGGGCAGTAGAAATACAGGGCACAAAAGTCACAGTCTCTGCCCTCAGCAGGTCCCAGTCTGTTTGGGAAACAGACCCAAAAAGTGACAAATCACTAAGTGACTTGGGATGGGCTGTGGGCAGGACTGGCAAGCCCAGAAGGAGCCTTCGGCAAACTTCACCTAAAGATTGGAATTTGTGACAAATGTGCTCCATTTTGTATACTAGAAACCTGGTATCTCATCCTGTATACAGCAGGTGTTATTTATCTGCATTGGTAGCAATGACCAAGTGAGCACACCGTGTCAAGGAAAGCCCTAGAATATCCACTTCATCGACAACTCAGTTGGCCATCTGGGGTGCTTGTAGTTTCAACAAACGTGCTTAACAAGGAAGGAGCTTGTGGCAGCACGACAATGAAGACCTTAGGTGATTAAAGGTCTTGGCAGGCAGAAGTGGTGGTTCACGCCTCTAGGGGACCCCCGAAGAGCCTAGCTCTGCGCCCTATGTGAAGAGGAACCAGATGAATGTCGCTGACTAACGCCAAAGCCTTCTGCCGTTTAGGGACAAGCAGTCTCTGGCAGTCACTGAGTTCAGGTGAGATGGCATGTTCTAAGGTCTCTCGGTCTGTCTCTCATAAATCATCTTCCGGCCTACTAAAAATATATAGAATCTGCATTTCCTCCCTTCTTGGTCCAAAGGTTCAGAATGTTCCAAACTGCCCCGAAACCCTTGAGAAGATGCAGCAGCCCAAACACGGAACAGTTTCCCTTGTGGATCATGGCGCCCTTTCCTCACCTTTCCCCCTCTGCCCATGGCCATCCTAGGGCCAGACACAAGCACTGAGCCTGCAGAGTAGCAAGTGACCCCAGTGGTCAGGCCCCAGCCTCAGGTGTTTCTGAGGCTCAGCACTGCCATCTCAGCTGTCTTGTCTCAGAGTATCCAACAGCCACGAATCCATTTCAGAGGGCACCAAATGAGGTCGTAGACACAAGCCCTCATCTGTCAGCTTCAACCTTGAGTTAACTTTCTCTCAGGAAAAGCAAATGCTTTCTTATGCAGCATTCTGTATTCAGAGCCACCTGCTCTCTATGGTACCACTTTTTTCTGCAAACACCAAGCATTCTCCACCCCAAGGCAAGTGTCCAGAGAATACATGGAAGCAAAGTGCTGTGAGTCCTGGACTCTGGAACCAAGAGTCATCATGAACGTTCTCTCTACCTAGCTCCAAATTCTTACCCTCTCTCCCTCTGACCTTCCCCAAGTACTGAGTCAGAGGCACCACTAAGCAGGGTGATCCAGTGGATAGAGACAGTCTTCCAGAGCTGGCCTCCCCTTCTTTCTCCAATTCCTCCCTCTATGAAGTCATTTTCCCAAGCTCTCTGTGAAGTAGTTCTGAGCTCATCTAGCAAAAGGGGCAGGATTGGAGTGGTTTGGGCACCCTGGGAGCAAAGTCCCTTTAGATGGAGAGAGGACTTAGGGCTTAGCGTCCTGACTCCTGGGCTGCTTCCCTGGCCCAGACTCTTCATTATCCTCCTCCCAATCCACTGTAGGTGATCACTAGGGCAGGTGGGTAACCTGACCACCCAGCCGAGGAGGGGAGAGAGTCTGGCTGCTCTTCAGGACTCTCTCCCACTCCACCCTGCAATGTGACTAGGACCTGAGGAGGTAGAGGTTTCACTTCAATCACTCCTGCCTCCTGCCTATGGAACAGGATAGCCCCTCGAGCCCACTGACCTAGTCCCACCTAGGTTGTGCATGCTGGCTCTCCAGCGAAACAACCAGCAACCTGTGGGTGCATTCTTTCTGATATCAGCTTCTCTGAGTGTCTTTGCTCCAAAGTCTCTATCCTCACGACTGCAAAGCGTCCCCAGGTGCCTTCAGGGAGCCCAAGTCTTCTAATTTCTCCTGGCCCAGGGGTCCCTGCCCCAAGGCTCAGGCTGGATTTAGGGCCATCGCATGTCTGGTTGTTACTCCCGCACACTTCTGATGATACTTCAAGAGCTCTCCCAATGTGCACCTCCCTTCCCGCGGACCGTCAGAAGGTCGGGGTTCCTCACCCAACCCAGTGCCCCAGAATCTGTCCTTCCAGCCGTGCGCCTATCACTGTTCAAAGTCATGCCTCGATTTCACTCTTCCACCGGGGATTCTCATCCTTCTTCTTCCCTGAGCCCCGTCCAGTCCCTTCCTGCGCCCCAGACTTGCCCCTATGTCTCGCCGTCCTGCTCCCGTGTGTATCCCGCCGTGGACAGGTGGCCTCCCAAGTTCAAAGCCCCAGCCCGACCGGGCGCTCACCGCCGCCGTTTTTGTAGCAGAGGTAGGGGAAACGCCACACGTTGGCCAGGTCCACCGCGAAGCCGACCACCGACAGCAGGAAGTCGATCTTCTTGCCCCAGGTCTCCCGGGCCTGTGCGTCGCCGCCGCGGGGCGCCAGGAGGCAGTGGACGCCGTTGCGCTCCTTCACCAGCAGCAGCTCCGCCGCTTTGCGCGCTCGCAGCGGCTGCTCGGGAACCGGGTCCGCCCCGCTGTTCTCGGGCTGCACCTGCGGGTTCATCCGTGCCAGAAGCATGGGTGCGGCTGGCGAGAGGAACTTCAGCGGTCCTGGGGGCACGCCGAGGCTCTGCTTGGACGAAAGGAAAAGAGGTGATCACTGGTCGAACCTCCCCGCCTGCGCCTCCGGAGACACTGAGACCAGCGCGCGCCGAGCGCACTCAGTGTTCCCAGAAAAGGCCGCGCGTCTGTTGGGAAAATTTGGAAACAGACACTGTGCGGAACTCAGACTTGGAGACGGCCTCTGACGACCGGTGGGTCGGGCCAAAGACCCTGCGGCGCTATCCCTAGCTGCCCCGCTCTTTCCCGCCCCCAAACGTCAGGGTTTGGACACATCGAGGCTGAGGTTTCCCAGCGCTGCGACAGGGCCGGGGGCAGGGTGCCGTCCCCCCGACCCGGCTCGGGTCTGCGCCGTCTCAACAGCCCAGGGAGCCTTTCCAGACACTGCTGCCTCGGCATGACAAACTCGCCGGCACTTAGCCCGCGCGTCCCACTTGGGCTCCCGGGCACCCTTAGCCCGGGCCCGCGCGCCGGACGCACTCACGTGTCGGGCAGCCAGGGAGTCCCGGGTGCCGTGCCCCCTTCCAGCGCCCTACCGGCCGCGCCTCGGCAGGCTCTGGGGCGCGGGTTGGGGCCA